GAGTGTTGAGCAAAAAAGATATGATACCTGCAATGATTCACACGAAACTATACATTGTAAATTCATTGATTGGTAGAAGTAGTAGATATACCCTCTAAGGGTCAATGATCAAAATATTTTGTTCAAAATCTATATAAATCTTTGAAATTGAAAGTGTCTCACACAAAAATAAACTACATATTATGATGGTCTAGCAATATAATGATAATTTTTCCCTAGAGAATTTAATTTTTTTAGTATATAATAATGTACTAGTATCATATATTTATAGGACTTCGGAGTTTCCTGATGACATTCAAAACCTCACCTTATTTTAATTCTCCTAATCATGCTGGGAGATAGATGGGATAGTTAGTTATGATCATGCCTGACTTCCACAGAGAGATTGAGAAGCCTGGCAAACCAGAATCTGAATCTTGATAGTTAATGGAATATAGTCATTAATAAGGTGGCTGTTAACAGATGAGACAGAGACAGGTGAAAGTTTGGACAAAGATCTATAAAATCAATTCATGGTCAAGCAATATTTTGAGCTCGTTACTATAGTCAATCTGCCTAATCTATCCTTTCATTTAGAGTAGTATTTTTCAAGGTTAGCAGGAGGAGTGTTATTGTGGACTGTATCTTCAGATCCAGTAGATGTTTTCTGGCATGGATGCAAGGAGATACATTTGAAAAGAAAGAATATAATGCCTTAGTAAAGATACTCCTTGCCAAAATCATCATATTCATATGAAAATGGATGATCAAAAGTTCTTTCCATGTAATACCCAAAAAGGAGAACATCTTATTCATACATCATTCTGGTGAGCATCGACCATTGCAAAGTTGAGCTATTCTGTGTCTAAAATAGAATAATGATATTATTATCTTAATTTGTTAAAAAAATATTCCACAATATTTTCTCAATTAAGTATTTCCTCTCTGTAAAGCTGTGGTGAGCTGTTATTGTTCACTGATGTATTACCAATGCCCAGGAGAGCGCACTCAGGCACTCAGGAAACATTGAAATGAAATGAAATTGCTTGTGTGAGGGCTAGCAGGTGACAAAACGAAAAAGTAGCAAGCAAACATTACCAGGAAAAAAGTCAGAAATGGCTCTTTTCCAGCGGGACTGTTGTTTGAGGGCTTTAAAAAAATTTTTATAGTACATGGATATAATAGTTAAGTTTTTTGCTAATAAAATTATTCCAATTGTTTAGAGTTAGATACATCATTATTTTACCATGTTCCCCCAAACCGATGGAATCTAGCTATTTTGTGGCTTGAACAAGTCAGTGAACTTTGCTAGAAGGAGGAGAGGGATGAAAGAAGGGCAGGAAGATGAGTGGAGCACCATGCCCATGGCTCAGCAAGATGCTTGATACACATCATCCCATATAATCTCAGTATAATGCTGTGCAATATTATCCTCTTTAGAGCCAGGAAGTGGAACACCAAGGGGGCTGACAGCTTGCCCCACAGTCCTGCAATCTGGATGTTGAGGTAGTGTTTGTACCCAGGTTTATGCTGTTGCTGCTGCCACCGCTTCCCAGATCTGCTTGTTCTGGACCCAGATTCTTGCCCTGGAAACCTGGGATTGCTAGTCAGTCTGGTTCAAGAACTTCTCTATCAACAAGGGGGGTTTAAGCTGGCTTTCACAAAGCAAACTAAATATTAGTTGAGGATGAGTGAACCCACACTTTTCAAATAAACTGTATACAAACAGATATGCAAATGTGTGTGTATAACTCACTGAGCTCAACTCAGGCTTCTGTCTTCACTCCTGAACAAAATCTGTCCTTGTTAAGGTTACCAGTCACCTCTGTGTTGCTAAATCCAGTGGCAATCTTCAGCTGTTTTCTTACTTAACCTATCAATAGCATTTGATGCAATATTTCCCCCCTTCCTTCTTGAGACACTTTTTTACTTGGTTTCCAGGACACCATGCTTTCCTGTTTTTTCTCTTGTTCTATTGGCCACTCCTTCTTAGTCTCCTTTACTGACTTCTCAGTCTCCTGAGGAATGCCCCAGGATTCAGGTCTTAAACCTCTTCTCTTTATTGTCTACACTCATTCACCATCTAGTCACCTAACTTTAAAGATTTTATTTATTCATTTTTTTCCCCCCAAAGCCCCAGTAGATAGTTGTACGTCATAGGTTCACATCCTTCTAGTTGCTGAACGTGGGACTCGGCCTCGCGTTGGACGGAGAAGTGGTGCCTCGGGGCGCGCCTGGGATCCGAACCCGGGCCGCCAGCATCAGAGCGCGCGCACTTAACCGCTAAGCCACGGAGCCGGCCCAAGTCACCTAACTTTAAATACTAACTCTATGCTGATCACTCCCAACTTTCCATCTCCAGGAAAGACCACTTCCCTGACTATTCTCATAGATCCAGTTGTTTACCAGACATTGCCACTTAAATGTCTAACAGGCTTCTTAAATATGTCACACTTGATATATTTAAAATTGAGCTCCTAATCATTCCCCCAAAACCTGCTCTTCCTGTAATCTTCTATATCCCAGTAGATGGCAAATCCATCTTCACAGTTGTTTGAGCCAAAAACCTTGGCATCATTCTTGATTCCTCTCTTTTTCTCTTACCTATTTCCATAGCATCAGCAAATCTGGTCAGCTCTTCCTCCAGAACATCTCCAGAATCTGCTTACTTCTCACCATCCCACTGCTGTCATCCTAGTCCAAGCCACCAAAATCTGTAGTCTGTTGTTACAGGAGACTCCTAACTGGTCTGTTTCTTTTTGCCCATGACATCTTACAGCCTATTTACACAGGAGCAGAGTGATTGTTCCAAAATATGACATAATGTCACTCCATTGCTCACCCTCTGTTGACTTGATTCTCATCTTAGAATAAAACCCAGAGTCTTTACCATACCCTACAAGGCCCTACAGATTTTGTTCTCCAACCTCCCCACCAGTTAACTCTGTGATCTGCTCTCCTACTTCTCTGCCCCTTGCTTACTCTCCAGACAGAATGGGCTCTTTGCTCTTCCTTTCACACCCCAGGAATGGTCCCTCCTCTAGGTCTGCACCAGTGGTTCCCACCGATATCTGTAAGGCTCACTACCTCATCTCCTTCAGGGATTTGCTTAGGTGTCTCCTTTGAGTTCTTTCCTGATCATCCTATTTAAATTGCAATTCCTCTTCAAAACTGTTTCCTGATCCTCTCATGCTGATGATTTGTTCCTTTCCACAACCCATGTCATCATCTGACATACTGTTCATTTTACTCATTTATCTTTATTTGTTTCCCCACTAGAATGTAAGCTCCAGGGAAACCGGGATTATTACTTTTGTCCCTGTCACCCAGGACAGTGCCTGGAACATCGTAGCACTTAGTAAATACTTGTGGAATAAATGAATAACTGACTTGAGCGTAAATACTTAAATCTACTTCTGACAAGTTATAGATCTAGCTAATGTGTTTCTAGCGTTGATTTCAAACCCTCCTCTCAGGACCGACTGAGAAAAATGCCACGTATCATCGTGGACCCCCCTGGACATGTTAGAGTGCTGTCCGTGGCCTGTCCCTCCGCTGTATCTGCTCTGGAGTTCTCTGGACTGGTCTCTGTTGTCATGCAGGGAATTCCTAACTCTTTGCTGCCAAATGCTTAGACTTCACATCTTAAGTACTGTATCTTTATCAACGAATTTTCATAGCTCTGGCTGTTCCTTTTACGTACTAGAAATCAAGTGCAGTTCTCTGCTTGTGCTGCATTAAGTGCCTACCTCAGCTACCAAAGGCCACACAGACTCCTGGAATTTTTTTTTTTCTGGTTTCATTATTTTAGACCCATGAAAAACCCTTAGAGTATATATTCATGTGTTTGTTCCATTTATTCTTTTGGTATAATCCATATTATTTGCTTCACATTCATCCGGGTTGGCCTATTTAATATCCATATAGTTATTTTATGCATCAGTTATGTCTATGTAAGGTCTTCCCTAAAAGAACTCCAACCACTGTGCTTTGCTTCAGCAAGCAGGAAATTCTGTGCCTCGTGGTTCTTGCTGACTCAGCTGAAAGAGACCGAATGACGCATTTCACTTTCGGGGGCTATTGCTGGGTTTTGATATTCCCTGGTACTATAAATAGCACTTCAAGGAACACTCAGGTACATTGAACATTTTCTTTGCAGCCCAATTCAATGTTTGCAGAAGGAAAGTCACATGCTGTCTGGTTCAGCACAAGTCCCTTGCCCCGTGTGCCTCCTAAATTCTAAGCAGACCCACCCAGAGTGTTCATTTGCTCATAAACACAGCATTTGCTCTCAGCATACTTTTGTGCCTTTGTTTATGCTGCTTTCTCTGCCTGGCAGAATCCTATTCATTCTTTAAGATTCGTCTCGAGTGAGAAAGCTTCCTCTGAGTTGGCTTGGCAGTTCTTGTTCTTCTATGGGATTCTCCACAGCATTTGGAGCATCCTTCTTCTACAGCAATTTCAGCATTACATTAGAGTCTGTTACATAAGTCTATATGTTCACACACTCCTCATGTCCCAAAATGTGAATCCTGAGGCCTGTGACTTCTGTATCTTTGTATTTATCCCCGATAGTTAGTATAGGAAACTTTCAACAACATTTGTTGAGTGAATGGCTGATTGTATGAATGAATTTTGAAATTGCATTCAAATAGGGGAATAGAATTCATTTGAGTTTGTTCCCAGCTTAATACCTTTAAAAATAATCCTATGTTTAGGTTGGATTTTTCTATTTTTCCTAGCAGACATCCTCTATTATGTGTGTGACCAATTTGATAACAGTAAAAAATGTTATTATATTTAAATACACGTCAGGGAGCTTAAAACAAATTTTTTTCTTTTAATTTCAAAGGAAAGGCTAGTTTGTTCCTTGCAAACTGCTAGTCATCTTTCTTTCTATGTGCTCTTTTCGCCCTGCCCAGTCTTCAATCAAATTCCTCTAAGGGTCTGCTGTAAACAATGATTTTGTGAGCGGTTGTGTGTTCTCTGCAGTGAAAACCCGCCTTGTTTTCTGTTGCTAGGCAACCCCATTCCAGCTGCCCTTGAAGAAATGTGCGGTGGTGGGAAATGGTGGGATTCTGAAGAAGAGTGGCTGTGGCCGTCAAATAGATGAAGCAAATTTTGTCATGCGGTAAGAGAGAGCACCCACAGCGTGGCCTCTGCCTTCTCTCCTTTTCCCCACCCCTCCAACAAGCCCTGGGGCCTTTCAGAACTAGTCACTTGTGATTAATCAGTTGTAGCTGTTCTTTAGCTTCCCTTCAAGTTCATATACCAGTGAGTTTAGGAGAGGGCCAGGAGAGCAAGGAAACATGCCCCAAGAAAGAACAAAGCTGAGAAAGGCTCAGAGATCATGGGGAGACAGTCTGTTGTGAATAAAGGCAGCAGGGAAAAGTGGAGACACTCAGATTTTATTTTAGATTATACAGTTGGGTGGTTAAAACTTGAAAAATTTTTCTTAAGATTAAATCTATGAATAAACATTTTCATTTATTCATTCTACACCCTTTTCTTCATTTCTCACAAAAGCATTTGTGAGTAGCAAGTGGGATTTGAAGAGGGATCTGATCTGTGCATAACTAGGAAAACTGAAAGGAAGGAGGGGGAATAAATTTCAAGCAAGGAGGAAGCTTGGTGAGGGAACCGAGCAGAGTGGTGATGCATACATCAGTTACAGCAGAAAACAGGAGGCTTCTGCGGGGGCATGTAAAGGAATTGCTAAGACACATTCAGCCAAGGGTAGAGACCATCGAACTGTAGTGGCGCCAACCTGCACTGTTGGGTGATTTTGACCAGAAGAAAAGACAGCAAGTTTGATTGATATAGGTTTGGGATTATCTGAGTGAGAGAGAAGAAAGACAGGGAGTAACAACACTGAGGGTCCTGGCTAGAGAGAGTGTGAAGTGACACGCTTTGAAGTCTCGGCTGGATAGGACGTGAGCCCTGAGAAGCGTGAAGGAGAAAGGAAAGGACCAAATGGGGCCACATGACAGGAACATTCAGAGCCCTGGAGGGGGAGAGGGATGGGAAAGATGGGGGGGGAGATGGAATAATAAGACAAAGAATGGCCCACTGGAGTTGACAGTTTCAGAGCTTAGCTTCTCCAGGGATGATCAGACGTGTTCTAGAAAAAAGAAGACATTCGTTACTGAAGAAGTGTAGGAGTTTTGAGGCTAGACTGTGGAGGGTTTTTCAGATGGGACTCAAAGTCTCACTGAAGTGAGACTGACTATGAACCAGGTGCCAGAAGGCTCCGGGGCCAGCCCCTCTGGGGCTGAGTTCTAAGGAATGCAGAGGGCAGAAAGCTGAGCAAAAGAGGAGGGAGGGTTTGGTTTTTGTGTTCATCTTTAAGTATAAATAGATAATGGTCTAGAAGTGGCAAAAAGTAGCTAAGAAAACACTAAACCACCTCTGAGCTCTGATCTAAGTGGAGTAGGGGAGAGTAAAGACTCTGACTGTTCCAGGGGAACCCACGTACTTGGGGGAGGGCCACATCCACTCTCAGAAAAGCAGAGTTGGGCTCCTTGAAACTCTCCTGATCTCACTGATGGAGCCTGCAGCAGAGTGGGGAGATCCTTCCATATCTGTCTGTCCTTCAGGGAGCTGCCCTGCCAGAGGTTTTCCAATGTAGGACTGTGTTTTCCTGTCCATTGCAATTATTATTATTTTTTGGCAAAATATACAAACAGTAGGAAGATGGAGAAAATAAAAATGTAGTTCTTTTTATTTATGTCAATAAAACATCTGTTTATTGAGCACCTTCACTATATTGGGCCTCAGCGGGGTCTGGAAATGGTGGGTTGAACAGTTCTGTCATGGACTTAGAACCTGGAGATGGGCTAGTGCTATGACTGGGTAACTCAGAGACAGGCAGCGGGGGAGCAGGGAGCTTCTGAGGAAAAGTGGTGTCTGGGCCGAGCCCTCTCTCCATTCCACCCTGGGCACAGGAACAACTTTTTCAAGGCTCTAAGGTGGGAAAGACACGAAGTGATGTCTCAGTGTTGTGAGCCATGGGGAGAGTGCCATGAGATGGGGCTAGAGAGGTATTTAAGCTGAGGACAAGCCCTTGCCACTAACTAGCTCTGTGACCTACAGCGTGTCATTTTACCTTTGCTGGGGCTCAGCTTTCTAATTTACTTAAGGAGGTGGGAGCAGACAATTCCTCAAGCCTTTCCGTTGTGGAACTCGATTCTATCTGTGATTATATGAATACTTTATAATTGTAATGCAGTTCATGTAATCTAGTTTAAATTTTCAGATTGCTCTCCAGTATAAGTTTATTTGCTCTTTCTAAAAACCATGTAAAGAAGAAAGAATGGATAGTATACTCACAGATTCAGGGAAGCGAAGTGATTTCAAGAGATCTTAATCCGCTGTGGAAGGAGGCAGTACAATACATGTACTTCATATTATTCCTGAGCGCATATGCCTGTGTGTGATTACATTGAGGAAGATGGATATTTTAAACTTAACATGTAGAAGACAAGGCCTAAGCATCTTAGGGGGTTATCTAGTGGGGATATGTTTTTCTCAAATAAAAAAGACTAAGTTTGTTTTGTATGCAGTAAATGTTGATATATTCAAGTTCCGAATTAATGAGTGGCTGTGATTAGAGTACCCAGAGCACTATTAAGTATAATGTTCATAGAATGATGAGGGAGGTGAGAATTGAAAAGAATTCAAAGAAGGTAGCATTGTAACTAGAGCTATGTATGCATCTACCTTGGATTTAATTTCAATAGCGCCAGTTTCATAACACATTTGAATTTTTAAAAAGCTTTATTTGTGGTTTATGACATGGGAGTAATTAAATGTTGATAAGTTGTTCATAAATTTATTCTTATTTGGCCATTTATGGGTCTATTTGTAAATAGTTGCTTAATACACAGTTTTGGAGGCATCCTTAGAAAATTGAGGTAGTATCATATATTCAGAAGTAAACACTGAGTGAGTAAATATGATGAGAGAGCATGTAATATGTCTGCTCCTAGTCTATAGGGTGCATGGGCAGTTATAGTGAGAGAGGAGATCCCGAAATACCCTTACCCGTACATAGTTACAGATCAAAATGTCTTCCAGAACTAGGATATAACAATGCCGTAAATTTTTTTGCTTAGACGTTTTCAAATACATCTTTCAATGCTGAAAATCAATTTCCCATTTTTCAAAGTAAACATTTGCTCTGTAACCAAAAACAACACTTTAAAAAATAATATTATTGAATAAAATTTATCTGGAAGGTCTGTAAGACAGAGGAAAAAGTGATTGCCTCTCAGAGAGAAATTGGGTGGTTCAGGCATCCAAGTGAGGACAACATAATTTTGGTGCCTCTAAATTATGCTCAAATGAGTGTTTTGCATACTTAAGTATACGTAAAAGAAGTAATTTGAAGATTTTTTTCTATTTAAAGATTCCTCTCCACCAAGCCCATTCCCCACCCACCTCTAGTCCCCAATTCAAAGAATATTCATTTCTCATCAGTTCTGTCGTCACATCTTTTAGGATCACACTGAGCACAGTTACTAAGACACTTTAGCCATTAACAGCTGTTAATTGTACCAACAAGGGATAATGCAAAGTTTGAAACACTTTTACTCAATTATGCCTTATTAGAAACAATTTGACTGTATTAAATGGGCCTTTTATGTACATCTATGTAATTATCAATTTAAGAGTTGAGGAGCTAAAATTATAGTGTGCTTTTTCTAAGAAAAGAGCTACAAGGAAGTGTCACAGACATTTGCACTTGAAGAGAAAGTTTACCCAGAAGAACTTAAGACAGATTTTTACACCAAAATACAATGTCATTATTTTCCAGAAATGCATTTATAAAATATTATCTTTATTGTTTTAAGCATTTCCCTCTGTTGTAGGATTTGGCAGTCGAAGTTTTTCTTAAGCTTTTACTCTGTCGTCAGAGGTATGAAGGGACCCAGACATGTGAGCCAGGGATCAACCTACAAGGAACACACAGAAAAACAAAGTATTTATTCGTGAAAACCAACTTGCTTCATTTAATAATGACAAAACAGGTTGACCGCTCTTCCTAGCAATATTCAGAGCTTAGAGTTTTGGTATATTGTGGTTGATTCTCAAATGTTAATAAAGGACTATCAAGATCAAAGCTTCTTTAAGAGACAAATGTCCAAATTTTAGCCCGTGTTTTATCCTGGAACTCTGTGTCTTTGCAAAGATCAGTTAAATCACAAGACTACAGTCAGCACCACTGCCGGGTGAGCTTGGTTGTTAACACATAAACTCACTACCTCACAAGGGTCCTCAGAAACTGCATAGGATATGGTGCACCCACTAGACTGCAGACGCCTCAAGAGGCGGCGCTTCCGCTTAGCTTCCCCCAGGCTCCCCACAATGCCCATTGTGTTCATTCTCAGTGGGCACTCAGCAAAAAAATCACCAACTGGCTGAGTAATTAATCTGTGGGTAGCTGCCAGAAGAACCAGTATCTCATTACCAAAGAGCAGATGAAAGGAAGATTCCAAATCAACTGAGACAAGTTGCCGCCTAAGACGCCCTGATGTGGTAGGAGTCACAGGGTAAATACAAGACAGCATCGAGGAACTTTAGCTGATCAGCTGAGTGGATGCACGGACAATTCCATGTCCTGGGAGAAATTTGTAGGGAAAATTTAATAGTTGAGAAATGACAGAGACCTTAATATTTGTAAGATCTCTTTCCTTACAAATAAACTATGCTTTAGTTTGTTGAAGTAATAAGAAGTTAGAGGCACCCTGATATGGTGGGAGTCAAGTTAGAGATTATGGGTGGAGAAGAGAATTTAGGACACAGTAATAAAAAAAAACCTGACAGAAACTATAGACTCATTTGGGATTTTCATAAATAATAAATATATATTTAATTATATTTATATGATATTTCTGATATGTGATATTTTTGCGCTGTTAGTGTGTGTGAAGCATCAAGGTAGGGACTTTTCATACATTTCTTCCTTTAATCATTACAACAACCTTGTTGGAGGGGAAAAGTCATTATTCTCATTTTGTAATGGGGAAACTGAGGCCAGGCAAATGAATTAACTTGCCTCACGTCACACTGGCAGAAAGCCATGGGATTTGGATTTGCAGTTGCCGTATTTTCCATTGCAAACTTTCATAAGACATTGTGGCCAAGGAAAGTAACCGGGGCTGGGGTGGTGTGTGTGTGTGAGGGAGGGGAAGCTGTTTCTGTCACCGGGAAAACATCACCTGTACTCTTTCCCATGGCTGAAATGGGATGGTGGAGAATCAGTGCATTTCTTTAGATGACAGATCATTATGCCTTCACCAGTAGTCAACCTATACATTGCTCATGTACCCAAAAGTCGGCCATGCATTGATTTAGGTGGCTGAGTTTGCCCTGAATGTACTATTATAATTTAGAATTTGGGAAAAGAAAGAAAAACACAAGCAAATGAAGTTCTTCCTTGTCTCTTGAGGTTTGTGGCAATGCAGAGAACACTGTATAGGTCCTGTGTCCTTTAGTGTACCACATCCTACTGAGCTCAAATTTCAAGTCTTAATACCCTTTCCTACCACCTCAAACATATTTTGAATGGAATAAATTCATTCTAGTTACGTCTCTTTCCTATCATAGATCATTTAGCTCTCTAGCTGACATCTTCTTTCTTCTAAAACAGGACTAGTTTTTATGACAGCATTTTGAAGATGCTGATAGTTAGTCATCTAATGTCTATTAAAAGGAAGAGGTGGTAAAAGCAGTTATTTGTGAATTGAGCTAGACTTAGTAAAATTCGTATTTGTCATGATAACTGACTTGATTTAAAAGTACGTAAATCATTCTAAAATGTTCGATCTTGTTTCTCTAGATGCAATCTTCCTCCTTTGTCAAGTGAATACACTAGAGATGTTGGATCCAAAAGTCACTTAGTGACAGCTAACCCCAGCATAATTCGGCAAAGGTAAGAGTTTATGACATCTGTTTGTGAGGAACTAAAGGGGAAGGTTTTTGAAGTATATAACATTTTAAAGGCAGTGAGCATAATTCAGTTTGGGAAACAAAGAAGCAAACCATCTGGACAGGCAGGAAGGATGAAGGAGGGAATTGTAAATAAACTAGGCAGGCTTATGGGAATCCAAACACTATTTCATGCTTCCTCTGGGATTCTGTCTCTTGCCATTAGAGATGGTAGAAATAACATGAGAATCTATTGTTTTGCTCAGAAAGCAATACAATATCCTGCTTCCTCGTTAATACTACTTTCCAATTTGTTGACTTCAGTCCCAACTCATCAATTGGCATTGATTGGTGAACTGAATTAATGTCAATTTTATTAAAGAATAAAAAACAAAGAAATAACCAATCTACTGCATATGCATGCATGAAAATAGCAATATTGTTGGAATGTACAGGAGTGCGTGATTATATGATATTATAATATATTACATTACATTATATTCAATCAGATTTGGAAAAGCAGGTGGAAAATTCTTGCTCTGGTATCGATTCCAGATATCTTGGCAGCTGCTGTGGGAGCTTCTGAGGGTCAGTCTCTAATTGATGAAGCCCATCAGTGAGCTATCAGCTGTTTCTCCAAGGTCTGTTCATAGTAGAGGATGACTCAAGCTCTGTGAAAAGAGGAGTCAAATGTTGCCTTTATACTCTCCTGTGTAGCTACCAATTTGAAGTGAAATATCCCAACATTCTGGGCTCAGGAGCTTGTCATGTAAGGAAGTCCTGTCCAAGTGAACAGCACTAGTGTGTCACCTTATAAACAATGCTGCACTACGTGTTTTGGTTCATAAGTAAGCATTCTTGTAAAATAGATGTCCAGAAACACACCCAGCAATTTTTAATTTTGACAGATGTTGCGAAATTACCTTTCAGAAATCTAGTATTTACTTTCTCTTCACTAGTGGATAAGACTGCCCGTTTCGCAATACTGAAAACATTATGTACTATCAATTTCTTTAATTTCTGTCAGTTTGTTGGGTGAAAAATGATACATTATTTTTTACTTAATATGCATTTTTTATGAATACAAGAAGGGCTGAGTGGGTATTGACTATTAGTATTTCTTCTGACTTGCCTGTATGTATTTTTTGTTCATTTTGTGCTTTTTTTCTTTTAAAAACTATTTTCCTGTTGATTTATAGGAACTGTTTATATTCTAGATATTAAATGTTTATTTGCTATATATGTAGCAAATATTTTCTTCTAGTCTGTCACATGTCTTTTAACTTATGTTCAATCAGAATTTAACATTCTTTATGCAATGAAATTTTTTGGTCTTTTCCTTTAAGGTTTCTTTTTTTAAAAAAATCTTTCTTTGGGGGCCAGCCTGGTGGCGTAGTGGTTAAGTTCACGTGCTCTGCTTTGGTGGCCCGAGGTTCATGGGTTCGGATCCCAGGCACGGACCTACACACCGCTCATCAGGCCATGCTGTGGCGGCATCCCAAATACAAAATAGAGGAAGATGGGCACAGATATTAGTTCAGGGCCACTCTTCCTCAGCAAAAAGGGGAAGATTGGCAACAGATGTTAGCTCAGGGCCAATCTTCCTCACCAAAAAAAAAAAAAAAAAACTTTCTTTGGACAGTCTTCCTTATCCGCATCCCCTCCAGTGAGAAAATATCATCCTGTATTTCTCTAGTGCAGTTATAGTTTCATTTTTCATATTCAAGAAATTTAATCCATGTGAATGTGTTTATTTTTATAACAATAATTTTATTATTTTTCAACAAAAATATATGTTCATTATAAGAAATTGAAACAAAAGAGAAGAGTACAAAGAAGAAGGTAAAAAAATCACCCCAAATCTCACCATTTGTAAATAACTGAAATTAACTTTAGGTAAATTTTTCCAGATATTCATATATTCTTCAGAACTTTGAAGCTATTGTTTCATTACCTTCTTATACCCAGTGTTGTCAGTCGGGAGTCTAATGGAAATCTATTTATTCTTTTTCAAAGGAAACCTTTCTTTCCTATTGCCACTAAAAGATTTGAAAAATTTCTTTTTATCATTTAAATTCAGAAAGTTTATCAAGATATATCTTAGAGTGGGTCTTTTCTCTTTGATGTTGCTTGGCACATTAATGAGAGGTTCTTTTAGTTGGAAGACTTGGGGGTTTAGTGGTTAAGAGTCTGTGCTCTGTAGCAAGATGACTTAGGCTTTACTCCTTGTTCATCCACTTACCAGCTGTGTGGGTGTGGCTAAGTTATTTAATAGTTTCTTCTTCTGTTTCTTCATCTGTAAAGCAGGGATAATAATACTTACATAATAGATTTACTGTAATGAATTAAACTACATATGTATGCATATGTACATATGTGTATAAATATGTGTGTGGGTATATATCTGTATATATTATAATTAAATTTAATGCTTAGAACAGTGCCTGGTATATTGTAAGCACTATATAAACATTGGCTATCATTAGTATTATTTTCCATCTCTCTGAACATTCTCTCTCTTATATGCCTGATTATTTCCTCTTCTCCATTGTATTTGCCCTCTCTAGTCTTCCTATTATATGGATGTTAGAACTTCTTGGTCTATTATCTATGACTTCTAACTCTTTTCTTGTATTGTACAGCCGTGTGTATGTGTGTGTGTGTGTGTTGTGCCCCAAGAATAACCCCTTTTGACTCACTAAATCATATTTTAGTTGTGTTCATTCTGCTATATAGTCTACCATTTTCATTTTTTAAAATTATGTTTTTGTTTTCTGTGAGCCTAATTATTTCTTTTTGAAAGCAGCACATTCTTTTTTTACAGGTAGGATGTCCTCTTAAATTTCATCAAGGGACTATTAACGGACTTAAAAGTTTTGTGTTTTTGTTTATTTCTATATTCTAGATTGTTTCCTTTGTTTTGGGGGTTTAATGCTATATTTATGATTTGACTTTTTCAAAAATTTGAATTTTATTTTTTTGTTTATTTTTGTCTGATGTCTGTTTGCTGACAGTGAATATAGGTATACTACTTTCATAGTAAACAATTAGTTTTTAAAATGTCACTGAAAACCAAAAATGCCAGTCAAATTTGTGAGTCAGTAAATTAAATGAATGACCAAAACTCAGTGCTTGATATTTAATTTTTAGTGGGGCTTGTTTGTTGATGTAGCTAATGTAGCATAGCCCGGAGTCGGGAAGAATGAGAAAGCAGAACATCACTCTTTTGTAGTTTAGTTATTGGCTTTCACTCAATTCTTGTTTTCTGTTTGGTTTTTTTTTCAGAGGGTGGGAGTCTGATCAGGAATATGGAGAAAATCACCACTGGTGATGGTGTCTCTTTCATTCAGTTAAATGGGTTGATGTTTTGGGAATTCTAAGAATGCAGTTTTTAAAATTGGGGTGGGTTTATCTCAGATTCAAGAGAACGAGCAAAGGGGTAAGAGAATACTTACAGAAATGTTTAAAAACTTTTAAAATAATCTTAAATAATAACTTCTTAAATAATTACAGATTCACAAGTTTTAAAAAGGTACGGAAAGGTCCTATGAACTTTTCATCTGGTTTCCCCCAATGGTAACATCTTGCATAACTGTAGCACAATACTTTCACTATTACTTTGAGTTGGAACTAAAATAACTTTTAAGAAATAAATGTTCCTGTGGAGGTGAATTGAAACATTCAGCATATTAAATTCAAAGGCAAAAGATTCTGTTTTCCTAGCTAAATCTGTGCAGTTGGTAGTATAATTTCAAAAGGAACATGGAAAAGAATATTTAAACCAAGATTTAGAGCAAGATGAGAGATAGAGATGTTGAGATTATATTTTTGAGAAAAATTATAATAACTACAGAAGGAGAAAGGAAAGCGTCAAAAATTAAATATTTATGAAGAAAAGTAAACCTACTGGTTAAGACTTAAGTTCAGTATAAAGAACTAATGCAAGGCAAACAAGAATCATTATTATTAATATTGATCAATATTTAGTCAATGTTTCTATACACCAGGTTCTGTGCTCTTTGTATGCATTGCCTCACTTAATCCTCAAAACAACTCTAATAGGTAGGCAGTATTTTAATTTGTGTATTTAGAGGAGAAGAAACTTGTGACTTGGTAAATTTAGTCACCTGCTCATACTCATAGCTGCTACTGATCTGAGACTTGACCCAGACATGCCTCAATCCATAGCCAGTGACCATCACATCTCCCAGCCTTCCCAGGTGATCCATGTATTGCACAAAGAGACTAAATAGAGTTTCACAAGTGATAAATCACTTTGGAAAAGTGAGTGAAAGTTTCATTTAAAAAAATGGATTCAGAGTAGCAAGGTTTTTGGATACAAAATCAAAATGCATACAGTAATTCCATTTTATGAAATAAAGAAAAAATATACCATTTACAATAGCATCAAATAATATACTTAACAATTAAATGAAAAAGCAAGCCCTTATGGAAAAATTATGGAATTTTATTGAGAGACATTTCAGACTAAATGTACTGATTTACCAGGTCCATGATTGAAAGACTCAGTATTGTAAAGGCATCAGTTCTACCCAAATTGATCTATAGATTCATTGAAGTTCCAGTAAAATAACATATGCTTTGTGATTTCTTAAGCACTAGTTAAATAGTACTAATTATAAGAGAAAAGACTGATAAGTTTGATTTATTAAAACTAGGAGCTTTTTGGGCCAGCCCCGTGGCTTAGCGGTTAAGTGCGCACGCTCCGCTGTTGGCGGCCTGGGTTGGGATCCTGGGCGCGCACCAACGCACCGCTTCTCCAGCCATGCTGAGGCCGCGTCCCACATACAGTAACTAGAAGGATGTGCAGCTATGACATAACTATCTACTGAGGCTTTGGGGGGAAAATAAATAAATAAATAAAATCTTTAAACAAAAAAACTAGGAGCTTTTATTCATAAAAAGATGGTAAAAATAGGACAAATATAGCCACATTGTAGAAGACAACAACTAGCAAAGGACTCATATCCAGAATCTATGAAT